TGTTCGATTTGGGGCAAATCGCATCATCTCTCAGAGCCTTGGTTCCCTTTCTGTAAGCGGCGAGAACCTTAGAGATCTCAAGGGGTGGCCTCGAGGGGTGCACGGGGTGAGATTACATAAGGACCTAGGTGGCATCTGGTGGGCATTGGGGGGGCAGAGCTGCCGGCTCCCAGGGGTGCATTCCCGCCGCGAACCACTCACCAGGGCAGAGTTGTGACCCCCTGAGGCTGCAGATACTGGACGTTTCCCAGAGCGCCCTTGTCACAGCTCAGCCCCAACAGATGAGTGCTCTGCGCGCTTGGCGTTAGCTGGAGGGGCCCCCTCGGGGCTTCCCGGCCCGTGCTGGTTCTCCCCAGCTCTGCGAGGGTCTTCCGTGTGGGCTCTCTCTTCCTCCCTTCTATACTTTTCTTCTTTTTAAAATTTGGGAGACCTCAATAAATAATTTTAATTTTAAAATAATTTTAAGAAATTAATTTTAAGAGATTAAAATCTTAATTTTAAGAAACTTCAAGAAGATAATTTCAAGAGATTACGATCACTGAAAACCCCACACCCAGTGTCAACATTCTGGTGCGTTTCCTTCCAGATTTTTTTCTGTTCACCAACACCTTTCTTGTTTTTGTTTTTACCTAAAAGGGACCAGACTCTGTGTATTGTTAGGTTAACTGGTTTTTCCAGTCAGTAACCACTTGAATGTGCTCCCAGGCCACGACCCAGGTAGCCACACCAATGTTTCAGTGGCTGCATCTTCTTCCCTTGTGTGGACAGACACACATCTGTTGACAGACATCCGGGCTGGGTTTTTGTTTTTGTTTTTGTTTTTGTTTTTGCTTTGCTGAGATAAACAACACAGCAGAGAACATCTTTGCACAAGCCTGTGTGCTTTCCCAACAGTTTCTTAAGATAACTTCCTTATAGTAGATTGGTCACGGCGCCAGACAGTCTCTCTCCGCGGGGCAGTGAGCTTGCTCCGGGTTAGATCTGCCCCTAGCGGTTTCTTTGGCAGCAAGAATGAAAGCCCCTTCCCTCACCGCGCAAGGTCACAGTGGATGCAATCCTTCCCCGTCCCACCACCCTCTCGATGTGTTGTCCCTCCCTGAGACCCTTCACTGGCTCGCCTCTCCGTTCCGGGGACGTGCTGAGACCAGGGCCTTTGCACCCATTGTCACCTGACCCTGAATCCCCCACCCCCAGCTGCTAGGTGGGGGGTCCCCTGGTCATTAGCTTGACACACAGCTGCTGCCTCCCCATGCTGCTCTGGTCCCATCACCTTGCATCCCTCACCCCTGCCCTGCTCCGGTTCCATGACTCTGGTCCCACCACCCTGCATCCCTCACCCCTGCCCTGCTCCGGTTCCATGACTCTGGTCCCATCACCCTGCATCCCTCACCCCTGCCCTGCTCCAGTTCCATGACTCTGGTCCCATCACCCTGCATCCCTCACCCCTGCCCTGCTCCGGTCCCATGACTCTGGTCCCATGACTGCATCCCTCACCCCTGCCCTGCTCCGGTCCCATGACCCTGGTCTCATCACCCTGCATCCCTCACCCCTGCCCTGCTCCGGTCCCATGACTCTGGTCCCATTATTCTGCATCCCTCACCCCTGCCCCGACCCGGTCCCCTTTCCCTGTGTGGTTTTACTACCAGGACCTGTCACTCTCTGAGATGATCTCTTACCCATATTTAGCTGTTATCTCTCACCCCCAGTCTAAGGTCTGTGAAAGCAAGAACCTCATCAGTTCTGTTAACCCCATGTCCCCAACACACAGCCCAGCGCCCAGCACATAGTAGGTGCTCAGCTGCACACCAGTTGAATGACAGACAAATTGCTGAGTTCAGAAATTAGTTCAGAACTCATCGAATGATTTTTTTCAAAACTTTTTATGAAAATTATTTAAACCCTTTATTAAAATGGTTCAATGCCTTTTATGGAAATTGCCCGGAAATGCCATGCCAACGGACACTCCCTTCTTCTGTGTGTGATAGTTACAACCAACCCAAGGAGAGAGTTGGGACCAAAGGGCGAGGCTTAGGAATGGCAGGTGGGAAGGCTGGCTTACAGTTTATCAATCACACCCACTCTTCGTCAAACACGCACAGCCGCCGACTCGGCCAGCAGGACCGGGGCTCAGTCAGCGTTTGAGGTACAAACAAATGGGGACCCACCCGAAGGCCTTTTTGAGTAGCCCAATCCCAGAGGAATTCTCCGCCTGACACAGTGGATGAGACTGACACTTGTCACATCGACACCCTCGGCAGTGTCAGCACGCTGGTCTGATGTGTTAAGAAATATTCACCCTGTTCGGCAGGGTCTGCTTTTTGCCTCTGAGGTGGATGGGCTGCTCAATGGGGATGCTTCATAGGTACCTTGGGGCATTTGTCCAGATGACAGCCTGACTGGCCATCTCATCCCTGAGTTATTTGGGGCCCTGTGATGGGGAGAAGCCACTGCCTCATCTCTAGAATTTACAGTAGTAAGTCAGAGACACAAACCTTGGTATTTTCCCCAGTGTGGCTTGCCCACCGTGAGGAGTAGACGAGAACCTTGCGGCTCTGGGTGGCTCTCCCAGACTGTTCATTCAGGCAGAGAATCTGGGGAAATCTTGCAGCCCAAAGGCCTGAGGAGGGCCCTGGAACTTGAGCTTTCCAGAAACCAGCAGGGCAGCCGGGGTAACCCCAGCCCCGGCACGGCCACTCCCTCCGTCCACGGTCTGGTGGGGAGCTGTGGGTGCGGAGGCCGGCGGCCCAGCATTCTGCTCTGTCTGGACGCCTGGCTCTTGCTCACGGCCCCATCTCGCCAAGTGCTCCCATCTGATACACGTTTCAAAAGTTCAGTCCCAGGGTAGCCAGAAGCACGGAGCTGCCATGGGGAGAGGGGGAAAACAACCAGGAATTCCAAGCAGCCTGCTTCCCAGGGATCGCTACCCTTCCCGAGCCGTCTGAGAGGGCAAAGGCCATCTGTCTGGTCCGGCAGTTTCAGCTGGAGGGGAGACTCTTACAGGAAATCATGCTTAAATCAAGGCTCGGCTGTTAATCTTATGCTCAGACTCATTCATAATGAGCAAAATGCAAGTGAAAACTCTGTGTGGATGCCATGCCCCACTCTTGAATGGCTGAGCTCCAAAAGCTGGATACCACGCCAGGCTGGCGAGCTCGTGGGCTGCCCTGGCTGCCTCACGTGCTGTTGATAGGACTTGTCCATTGGTGGGGCCCTCATGGAGGGCAGTCTGGCAAGCTGTCCAGATCACAAACGCGTGTGTCCTGTGATCCAGCCATTCCACTCCTTGGGGCCGATCTGCAGGTGCTCTCATATGTGTGTGGAAAGTCCCAAGGACAAGGCTGCACTCTGTAGCATTGTTTGCAATAGCAAAATCTTAGGAGCTACTAGAGCTCCGTGAACAGGGACCCAGTTAGCTCTGTTGGAATACTTTAAAAATAATAGGATACTGTGCTGCTGAATACAAAGCATGGAGAGGCTCTTTGTGTACCGCAAGTTGTGAGCCTCACAACAGGGGCTGACGAAGATGCGGAGCCCCCACAAGCCCCTCGTGTGTGGCTGGTGGGGAGATAAGATGGGGCAGCTACTTTGGAAAACAGTTGGGCAGCTTTTTAAAAAGGCGAACATGCGTTTCACCTATGGACCCAGCGGTGCCAAAGAAAAATGTGTCCCTACAAGCGTGCGCCCAGCAGCATTTTTCATAGACGCCCAAAGTGGAGAGAGTCTATATATCCGTCAGCTGGGGAAGGACTGAAGAAAACGTGGGCTGTCCCTGTGATGGAATATTATTCAGCCATAAAAAGGAGGGAAGTACGGATCACACTGCCAAATGGGATAAGCCTCAGAACCATCCTGCTGAGCGAAAGAAGCCAGGTGCTCAGGCTGCATATCGTATGATCCCATTCACGTGAAATGTCCAGGACAGGCAGATCTGCACGGACAGAAGTTGCCGGGGCCAGTGGGAGGGGAATGGATTAAAACTGGGCGTGAACAGTCTTTTGGGGGTGATTCTAAACATCTAAAACTGGTTTGAGGAGGTGACTGAACAACCCTATAAAATCACTAAAAATCACTGGATCGTACACTTTAAAAAGGGTGAATTTCATGGCATGTTATACCTCAGTAGAGCTGGGGTTTCTTAATTTTTATTTATTTATTTATGTATTTATGTATTGAGTGTGCACGCGCTGGGGTGGGGAGGGGCAGAGGGAGCGAGAGAGAATCTCAAACAGACTCCATGCTCAGTGCGGAGCCTGACACAGGGCTCGCTCCCACAACCCTGAGATCATGACCTGAGCCGAAATCAAGAGTCGGCCACTTGACCGACCCACCCAGGTGCCCCATCAGTAGAGCTATTTTTTTTTTTTTTTAAGCCTTCAGTTAGCGGAAGGCTTTAACTCCTGCCTTGAGAGAATGACTGTTACCAGCTGTGTGACCTTCGGTAGCTGTGTGACCTTGGGTAGTAAGTCCTTGCTTTCTACTGCTGCTGTTTTCTCACCTGCAAAACGAGGTCACTGATGGCACCCACCACACGAAGAAGGTGAAAAGACGTGTACACAGTGCTTTGCACGGTGCTCGGCGTGGTGTCCTGGCCCCGTCGGCGTGCGCTGTTTCAGTAACCGCGGCTCAGCCAGTCAGCCAGATGGCCACCGTGGAGGTCGACAGGTGGTAGCCAATGCCAAGCAGAGGCCTCGGAGGGTGCACTTGGTTCAGACAGACTGGGGCCGGCGAAACCCAGATGGAGCTCAAAGAAAACTTCACAGCCCAGCCTGACCCAGATTCAGACCCAGGCCCGTTTGCAAAGAGAATGGAATTTGCCGGCTCTTCCTGGCCCGGGGACAGGAGCTGTATTTCCAGCAGCCACGGGGAGGTGTCCCTCTGTCCCTCGGCCACGATTCTCCCACCTCGGGGACAGGGGGCAGCCTGCTCTCCCTTCCCAGAGCCAGTCTCTGTAGAAGATCCTCCCGATCTTTCAGTAATGTGCCCTCTGCCTTCTTTTTCAGCTTGAGGACCCCTCGAGACGGAAAGGCCTTCCGGATCTTTGCTGTCAGGCAGTGAATTTCCAGCGCCGGGGAGAAGGGGGCATGCGTCTTCAAGAGGGCTTCAGGGTTTTGCTTTTTATTTTTGTCATTTGGGGGGTGGGTGGGCTGGGGATATAGAGAGGCAGGAAACTTCCTTTGAGTGGCGTTTGGTGTCACACCCTTTGTGCCTTTGTCTCGAACCACATGGAGAAACAGCGTCCTTGGGGTCCCGGCCGGACAGCTGGTGACTGGTCCTGCTGAGGCCGAGGGTCTCCATTTGTGTACCCTCTCTGCACGGACAGCTACCAAGGTGTTCCTCCCTGGTGCTTCTCGGTGGGCGGCGGGGAGAGGGTTCCAGGCCCTTGGAGATGGCGGGATTTGGAGCTCACGCCGGGGAGGCATGCAAGGGCCGGAAGAGGTAGAGTGAGCGCCTGCAAGGCGAGTTTCAGGAATGGAGTAGAAGGTGGTTATTTAAAAACTTTGAAAACACAGTCCATCCCTACCAATGGAGAAAAATGGGTGTAATGTTTGCTGGTCAGACACATGGGCTGGAACCAGGGGGCTGGGGGAGTGAGGCCCGGGCCCTGCCCTGCCCCCTCCCTTGCCAGCACCCTGCCTCCAGCAGGCTGGTTCTATAGACAGCAGTGCTGGTTTATTTAGAGTTCCACAGTAACTCCAGAGATTTATCTTGTCTTTGTCCTTCCCTTTGTCCACGTGGCCCGTCTGTTTGCTGCCGTGACCTTTGGTCTCCTTGAGGACAAATGAACCAGGATCCTTTCTTTGCCCCCTCCCCGTGCGGCTCCTGGCCCAGCCCAGACTGGTTTATGCATCACCTTCCCCACCAGGGTCTTTGCTTTGCAAGCAGTTCTGTTGGCAACACCCTCCCCCCCCCTTATTTTTTCTCAACTCTTAGTGTCTGTTGGTTCCACTGAGGTGTCTACAAACAGCCAAAGGAGGGCTGTTTTGTTGCTGCTTTAAAAAGCGACAATGAAATACGCAGAGTCCCCATGCATCGGATGACCTAGTTTTTAGCAGTGGGAGGAATGGATTCCTGAGTACATTCCTCGCCCAGGTTAGCAGCTCTGGGAAGAGGAACAGTTTGTGGTTATGAAACCAGCCTGCGGTGTAATAGCAAGAGATGGTAACACTCTAGAAGGATTTCTCTTCCTGTTTTTGTGGAACAATTTTTGCCAAATCCTCCTCGGGCTCCGAGGAGCGCGGTGCTCTCTGGGTCCCACTTTATAAAAGTTCTTCATGAGCCCAGACCAAAAACCCACAGTGAAATAAAATAACTTTTTGTAAATAGCATTGCTTTGCAGAAGGTAAAATTCTACCCTCCGCCACGAGGCTGGCCGATCTCTCACTTTTGTGAACGCCGGGTTTACATTTGATTTCACCCTCCATCAAGATATTTCAAAGGCAAAGGAACTAGCAGAGGGTTTAAAAAAAAACAAACAAACCAAACCAAACAAAGCAAAACCAAGATGGTCCGGACAAGGAAGTCTACCTGGGGAAGTAAGCTTGATGTGTTGTCAAGAGTATCCCTCCCTCGTGCACACACTGGAGGTAAATAGCTTCCTTCCCCCACCTTTAGGAATTGGGTAAGAGCAATGCTACCCTTAGCTCAACGGAGCTGAACTTAGCAGAGCTGTGTTTCCTTCGTGCACTGTGGCCTTGTAGTAATTCATAGGTTTTGACGATTCAGCCCCAAATGTCAGAGCACAAGAATTTGGTCAGCCTGTCAGTTATGTGTCTCATGACAGCCCAAAGATCTGAGTACTTGGAAACTTCTGGATCCTGGGTGTTGTGCTGCTGGACGCTCACTTCCTCAGCCCCTGCTCTGCCACCAGCCTTTTGTGGTCTGTGGCTTTGTTGGGACTGCAGGGTTGGGGTTTTTAGAATTCGTGACTGTCCAGGGGCTCTTCCCAGAAGCATCCTTCCCAAGGGAGAATCTGAAACGTCTGGTGTGAGTGGACCCCATCACATTCGACTCGAGTCCCCCGGTTGCTGGATGCCTCAGTAACTGGCCGGTCTCATGGGATCGGCAGTCCTCACCCAGAGCCAGAACTCGCTCTCCTCTCCATACTTACCAACATTTTGCAACTGGAACCATTTTTCTTCTGAAAATGGAAACAGGGCTGCAAAGTCTAACCCCCTGTAATTAGAGACCACCTCTCATTTTGTGTGTTAACAGGACCCATCATGCCATCGGCATGTAACCCACATAGAAAGATGACAAATCAGGCCAACACTGTTTCTGGGTCTCCTGCCCCCAAAATGAAAAGTTCTTGTTTCCTTCAGATTTCTGCCCCATCACGTTCTGGTTTTTTATATTGTCTGTAGGCTCACTCAGCCCGCAGCTTACATGTGTGCTTTTTTCTATGAAAAATGATGTATTTTACTACTTCCTATGTACAAAAGTTTATTGTAAATTTGTGTGTGTGTGTGTGTGCTTTGCATGAACAGGGACCACGTTGCTGTTGTTTCAATAAAACTGGTTTGATTTCTAAAGTGTTTCTGTGATGTATCTTTTTTTGGACAAATCTGAACAGTTTGTGAAATAAAACGTTTAAAACCCCCCTCGAAGACTCTTGGCTGTTTTACTTTCGGAACTTCTACCAGGAACGTCACACTGAGGCAGGGAGATGCCGACCCCTGCAGTATTTTCTGGCGCCTCTCGGGGACACCTCCATCCGATAAGCAGGAAGAGATGAAGAGATGTCGCTTAATGTGTGCAGACTACATATGGATGGGGTGGGGGCGGGGAGCTTGTCAAAATGTAGATTCTGGGGGCGCCCAGGTGGCTCAGTCAGTTGAGCATCCGACTCTTGATGTTGGCTCAGGTCATGATCTTAGGGTCGTGAGATCGAGCCCTGCGTCAGACTCTGTGCTGGACATGGAGCCAGCTTGAGATTTTCTCCCTGTCTGCCCCTCCCCTGCTCACACACGCTCTCTCTCTCCCTCTCTCTCTAAAAAAAAAGAAAGAAAAAATACAGATTCTGGTCCAGCGACTCTGGGCTGGGGCCCTGGAGCCTACATCTCTCATGAGCTCCTAGTGACGTGCGTGCTGCTGGCCCCCAAGAACATACCGTGTGTGTCAGCGAGGAGTCTGCTCGGGCGCCCACAACAAAGCAGCTCAGACCTGGTGGCTTCCACAACAGAGATTTACTCCCTCCTGGTTCTAGAGGCTGGAAGTCCAAGATCAAGGTGGTAGCAGGGTCGGTCTCTCCTGAGGCCTCGCTCCTTGCTTGCAGACGGCCACCTTCTCCCTGAGTCCCGGGCTCTGGGCGAGCACCCCTAGTCCTACTGGGTCAAGGCCTCACCCTTATGACCCCCGTTGAACCTTAATTAACTCCTTAGAGGTCCTGTCTCCAAATACAGTCATGTTGGGAGTTAGGGCTTCCACATCTGAACCTGGGGAGGGGGGGACATCAACCTCTTTTGGTGATTGCCGTCATATGTCCCCATGCGTCCCACGCCGCTGTAGCCATGGGGGGAGGTACAGGGGCTTGGCTGATCTTTACGTCTCACCATCAATGCTTCAGCCTTTGTGTTCTCAGCACCCCATTTATGTTCTTCCTGTTGATGGTGGAGATAGCTTTTCTCTGCAATGTGTATACCTAGGCTTTGAAAATGTGGATTTAAAAATATTGCATGAGCACTTATGCAGCTGGATTGCAAAAATCACAGACATTGGATAATAACTGATGTCTGGTTCACACTGGTTTCTGACAAGTCCATGGTCAAGTCCACGGAAATGACCCTGTTGGCAGCTCCCCGTAGGGCATTGGGGGGGGGCCTCTCCTGCCACCCCCACCCCAGATCTGCAGGCTCTTCCTCCTGCAGCTGATTTGGTCCCTTTTATTTCAGATATGATATTTTTCCATCCTAGAATGCCCATCTGGTTCTTTTCCTAATTTTCTAATTCTCCATGAAATTTCTTTTTTTTTCATTTATTTTGAAGATATTTTCCTTTATGACTTCAGCATAGATATGTCAGCTAATTCCTATGTCTGGGGCATTGTGGGATCACTCACCATTGATTGCCTTTTCTCTTGAGCAGGAGTCGACACACTTTTTCTTAAAGGACCCAACCAGTAAATATTTTAGGATCGTGAGCCATAGCATCTCTGTCATGAAGCCTCAACCAAGTGTTTGTGGTTTGAAGGCAGCCACAGATAGGCATAAATGGATGAGCGTGAGTGTGTTCCAGTAAAATTTAATTTTTTTTTGAGAGAGTGTAAGTGGCGGGGGGCAGAGGGAGAGGGAGAGTGAGAATCTTATGGAGGCTCCACACCCAGCATGGAGACTGACACAGGGCTCCATCTCACGACCCTGAGTTCATGCCCTGAGCTGAAACCAAGAGTCGGACGCTGAACCAACAGAACCACCTAGGCGCCCATAAAACTTCATTTTTAAAAGCAGATGGCCAGCCTGCAAAGCATCATTTGCTGACCCCTTCTCTTGAGTATGGACATTGTAAAAACATTTCTTTGTATGTCTAGTAATTTCAGATTGTATCTTGGACATTGTGTTAATGCATCATGGAGACTAGATGGTTATTCTTTGAGCAGGAAATTAACTTGTCTGGACTCAAATTCTGGACACTGCCCCACTGCAATGTCTGGCAGCTGAAATCATTCAGGTTTTGTTGGTTTTCGCTGCTCTGCTTGGAGTCTGCTCTCTGCATGCCTGGTTCACGGGTCAGCGAGAGACTTGGACGCTCCCCCCCTGCGGCTCTCTCCTTTCTGGGGTTTCCCCTCTCCTTTCTAGATGCTATGCCTTCTGGTTCTTTAAGACTTCAGGCTCTTAGCAGACATTTAGCCAACCCTGCATGGTGCTGACTGGGCTTGTCTTCAGGCAAAAAGTTGAAAAACGTGTGAGACTCATGCAGTGCTATCTCCTTTCCTCCAAACGTTGACTCCTGCATTTCTACCTGTCTGCTTCTCTTGATAAGCATCAGGGAGTTGTATTTTACATTTTTTTTTGGAGGTTACGGTCTCCATGTATCGGATGGTTGGTTGGACTGTAGCCTTTCTGCCATTACTGGAAGCAGAACCCCTGAGTCTGTGACTTAGAAATAGTTTTTCCAGATGTCTTGGCCAATAAAT